CATGGACTGAGACTGATCGCCCAAAACGTGTTCTTAGGCTACCAAGACAATATTCGTTGCATACAATATCATTCAGAGGTCAAGGTCAAGGTCAGGTCAGGTCAGGTCACCAAAAACAAAATATAGAAAAGGGCATGTGCGACACATGTTTTATGGGTCATTTTACTCATATAATTCAATAGGCACACTCAATAAGTGATATGGACCACCTCTGGATGAATTTCAGGTCGAGGTCAGGTCAAGGTCAGGTCAAGTGAGGTCAAATTTTGAAGTTGGTTGATAAGGCCTAAAAAGGTGTCTATCTGATGCAATTTTTCACGGCGAATCGAATGGTGCTATTTTTGTTTCCGTACGAGGTCTAGAACTTCCAAAAAAGTCATTTTTCAAAAAATTTGTGTGTCGTGACGTCATAAAATTTTGAATAACTCCTACATTTTTGAACCGATTCTTCTAAAATTTGGTATCTAGGTGCACATAGACCACTTCTCTGACATATATTCCGGTTTTTTCGACAGACTCAAAATTTTGGATTTTATAATCATTTTCCCAAAAAAGTCAGTTTTTTTGAAAAAAAATAGGCCAAAATCCAAAATTTTCAAAAAACCGAGATAGCCATTTGATAGACAAAGTAAAATTATGTATAACCTTTTTTTGTTACGTCTTGATTCCTTTAAAAATGAAGATGTTAGCGGCGTTTGAACTTTTGCCGTTTTTGAGGCGAAAATGGCGAACATGACGTCACTAAAACGTCAATTTCTCAAAAATTTTCCGACGGATTTCGCTCAAATTTTCAGGGAACGTGTCAAATTGATGTAAGAAAAGGTACTGAATGTTTGGCGGCGCTGCGCGCCGCCGTTTTTGAGATATCGCAAAAATTCGCGAGGGGGGGGGTAAAATTTACCCCCCCCAGCCCCGCGCGGGTTAACCCGCGACCGCCTGGGGGGGTCGGATCCGAACCCCCCCTCCGTTTTTCTTGAATAACTCAAGAACCGCTTACGCTATCAACTTGAAACTTGGCATACCTTCTCCCCCATCAATTTGACGTCTTCTGTGTAATTGTTAAGAAAAAATTTCCAAAAATTTGTGAGATATATCGATTTTAGTGATGTAACTACATGGCGTTTTTAGTCAAAAAGTGGTAAATGTTTTAAAAAAATCGCAAAAAATCAGGGTTTGAAGCAAATTGCAAATTAAGGACATGAATAGACGCAACTCAACGAGTTCTTTAAAATGGCTATCTCGGATTTTCCATAAAATGCGTTTTTTACCCCTAAAAATTCAAAAAACTACATTTTTTGGAAAACAGCTAATAAAATCCAAAATTTTGGGAATTTCCAAAAAAAACCGGAATACATGTTATAGAGCTCTATTAGAACATTAGATGTCCCAAATTTCAACTTTCTATCTTGATTTTTGACCCCCAAATTGTAAAAAAATAGCTTCAACATGCATAGGGCATGGTGACGTCATAAGCATTTTCGTGAATTAGAGGCACTTCTGAACATCGCATGTGAAAACAAATGGCACCACTAGATTCCTGGGACAAAGCTCGTCTAGAAAAGTGCATTTTTATGTCAAAAATAAAAAGTTGAAAAAATGACCTTTTTTCTCAGCCCTCGTTTAGTTATGTATGGTATAAACGATTTTTTATGCTTTCAATGCACACTTATCACCAGCACAGTGACTTGGGGTCACATATAACCATTGCCATCGGATTCGGCGTGAAAAATAAGCCATAAAACATGTGTCGCACGTCCATGTAGCAGAAAGTGAAATCCGTGACCTTTCGTGACCTGACCTGACCTTGACCCGTACTTAGTATGACCCCTATACGCTCATGGTACCTTCACTAGGCCTTTGAGGTCATTTTTGGTGAGTTTCGAGCAGCAGCTATCGATACCGCTGTCCGTAAGCCTAATCATGCAAAACCCCAGAATTTGACCTTTGACCTGACCTTGCCCCAAAGTTGACCTCAATCTTAAAATCTTAAGAGTGCTTTGGGAAGGTCTCGTAGAGACCTTTCGAACGCCGCCTCGCGGGGCTCGATACGACCATTGGTTCTCGAGATAACAGGGGGGGGGGGTCGGATCCGACCCCCCCCCCCCCCAGGCTGTCGTGGGTACGGAAATAGCCCAGGCGGTGCCAGGTTAACTGTTAGCCACACCGTGCGCCGATTCCCGAAACGCTGTTTCTTCTGTGACGGCCGTCAGTTCGGGTTACGGACCATGCTATAGCCTTGGTCAGTTTTTCGATGCCTGGATAGCTCCTTCTCGGTAGTATATTTCCCACCAGTGTGAGTTATATAACTGAGGTGCCTCACGTAAACCGCAATGTCGCTTGGATCGATACCACAGGTGAAATACCGCGAAAATTGTGCTCACGGTTGTAGATGACATACTACTTCTGGTATTCGCCAGAAATCCCTATTGTCATACTTGATGACCCCGCGGTGCCTCGCGCGTGTCGTGTCTCCACTGCAGACTGTCCGCGGCAGTGTTCTAAAATTGGATATTGGTTGGGCGTGCCGATGAAGAAAAAAATCCTAGGATGAGAAAAAAGAAAGTGAATAACTGAAGTATTTTTGCAAAATGATCTAATGCCAATTTTTATGCCAACTGATAAGCCAGGATTTCATGTCAGGATCTTGACAGGGTGTGGAACAAAAGGATGTGAGTGCATCAACTGTCAAGTGGCATGTGAACTGTCTGTTGGGAATACATGAAACTCTTCAGAGATGAAGTAAAGTCGGTCATTCGTGTTTTAGGGATGAAAATATTTTCCCCATTAGGTGTGATTTGCCACCAAAAGTCTGAAAAATGGAGCACTGGTCCGCGGTGTCTAACCCTCCTCTCCCCCCTACAGGACTGCGGGGAAGGCGAGGCGGCCCTCTGTACCACCACTCTGGACGGTTACTACATCGAGAGTCTGGCGTGCGCCTGCTTCGGCTTCCTGTGGCTGCTCTGGGGCCGGCACCGGCTGCTGCGTCTTCAGTCGCTAGATCTATCGGCGTGGCGGTACAGGAAAATTGGTGTGTGATTATTAAATCCGACCCGCGCGGTATAGGACCACTTGGTGTCACTGGCGGTGGACCAAAGTCATGGAAGGTGGGTCAGACTGGCTCCAGAGGTGGGAACAGAGGTGTGACACAGGGTCCAGTCTGTGGGTTGTGTTCGTGGGCCGCTGGTGGTCCCACGTGTTTGGATGAAGTTGACAGATGACACATTTGTTTGTGTATGAAGTATTTAAGTTTATTGTTATTTTGAACAGGGCGGGTTGTTGTTTCGCCATATAACCGTCTCACAGGGTGGGGCAGCTAAGGCACAGCCCGCGTAGCACAATGTGTGGCCATCTTTAGACGCCCACAGAGGGGTACGGAGGGGCTCCCGTGTTTCTTCTGTACCTGTATCGTGTGCGGGGGTTGTGTCCCACGTTCCTTCATCAAGCAGACTATGGAGGCAAGAACCTGAACGATAGCACAATCATGGTTCGAAACGCATATTCCAGATTGACCAAGGTAGTCACCTCATTAAGTTCCTTTCCTCTACAGTTTCTGAGAGCTCACCGTTATTAAAACATCCACCCCGTGCGCGACGTATCAAGTCGCTACTTGTCAGCATCTTGTGAGAATGCTGATATATGGTGATTCTACCCTTATCGTGTGTTGCGTCTGTGTGCATATGAACACGGGTGGTGGTAAACGGGGTGGGGACTGGGCAGCGTTTTGGGGAAAACAATCATGTCGTCTGGTTGTTATACATTGTTCAGAGGAAAGTCACCCGGCCCGTGGCACGGTTGTCACTTGTCTTCGAACACGCCTACTGTTGTACTTTACAATGTTGGATGTTTGTGTGTTGTCAAGTCGCGCCGCCTTCATACATTCCCGGCAGTGTTGAATTTTAGTTATGTTTCTGACATGGATTTCGTAATTTCAATGTTTACAATGACATGAATACAAAATTGAAGTGTTAATACTTGACCTTTTGTTGCCTTCCCCCCCCCCCCGCCCTCCAGTGGTCTCGGCCTAGCTGGTTACGTTATGCTCGTTAAAGATGACGCATAGCACCTATTGCGGCACTGAGCTCATAATCTCAAAATCGGCCGACATGCGTGACACAGAAGGCACTGTCAATGCGATTTAATAGCATGGCGGCTGGGAGGACGTCCGCGAATCCCCCCCCCCCCTCCCTGAAGACCACTTCTTTCAGCCTGATCTGGCACCGCGAACATTGAATGCACCTCTTTAAGAGCCGCACGGGCTTGTATCTAAGAAAGCAAGTTAGCTGCGTCCACCGGATATCCTACTGAGTCGCTTGTTTCTGAGGCTGCAGTGAATTGCTGTTGCGAGAATCGCGGCCGTAAAATATAGGTGTATGAAATTCCATCCTCCGCCATATCCTTTGCTGCTCACATGTACCAGTAAGGTGATCAGTATTTTTTGTCGATTAGCTGCATCAAACGCTATTTTGAGGTCGCGATTCGATCATAATACTGTCTATAAAATGTGCCTGGTGATATCACCAAGCCGTCTCCGGGTCCTGCCGAGTTCCATTCAGCAGCAAATGTACCACAAAGCCCACGCTGTTGCCAACAGAGTTAAAAAAGAAGTAAGCAGTCGGCAAGGCAAATTTAGTCATTGGCACGACGATTGTTTCAGATCAGAAGGTCGGCTACTTCCTAAGCGTTGTGAGAGTAGCCAGCTATTGGACGTGACCGCGGGGCTGTGTGGTAGGTCAAACAATTACCGACCGTGGGTATCGGTGAAGCGAACTCAACTCGAACAGTGTACGCATTACATTTAAGGAATATCGATGATGACAGCTCCTTTCCGTGACAAGGTTCCCATGCCGGTGCGTGTTGTCAGCAATAGCGTCCAGTAGATAACTTAGAAATATGCCCAGCGAACTGAGTCTTACCCAAAGTACGCTGACACCTTCCTCTAGTCTCCTTCATCTACGTCTTTGCCGCCCCTTCGTTTTACGTCGCCACCAAAACACGCAGGGTGAAAACAAACCACACACGCATATATTATAACACACCGATAAATAATGAATATGATTGTACACAGGGTTATAAAAATGATGATCGGCGCAGGCTGGCGTCGCAAACAAAAACAAAAACTTCTTGTCTAAAAATCTAAGACTTGCAGACATAAAACCACTGTTGGTCAATCAGCTCAAACTTGAAGAGATTCAGGCGCGGTAAACTACTGAAACATGGCAGGAACAACGTCCACTCGCACGAAAAACACCTTCCCTCGCGGAGGAAACACCTCCCTCCCGCACAGGAAACACCTTCCCTCACACAGAGGAAACACACCGGAAAACTTTCCCCTCGCAGAAGAAACGCACCATACCCCCGCGGAGGAACACCTTCTCTAACGCCTAGTGAAGCACCGTCCCCTCGCACCCCGCGGTCCATCACTCGTCGCATCTGTCTCCGCACTCCCTCTCACGGTCCTCACTCGCCTGTCCTCTCAGCGGCGCACCATGCGGCAGGTGCCGGCCGCGCAGCCCTGGCACAGCGCAGGGTCGTGCGCCTGCTGCGGCCGGCCGAAGCGGCGCTGGTGGCCCGCCGGCGGCTGCGGCCGTGGTAGGTGCGGGTACAGCTTACTGCTCACCTGGCAGTACAGCTCCATCAGCACCTGGAGATGGAGAGGGAGGGAGCGGTCAGAGACGAAGACACGGTCACTGGTAGGGCAGATACGCAGCACATCGAGACACCAAACGGTCAAAACAGGGACCAGCTACGACCATAGACAGCGGCTTGTTCCGTGCTCCGTCTACTACCGTGAAACGTCTGCCGCATATTCCGCAACGCTCCTCTCTTCCTCTGAAGCCTCTCCCTCCTGTACCCGCTGTTTAACTGCGCTACGAATCAGAAATGTTTCGCCATACGTCCCCCTCCCTTCTAAAAGAGCATCCAGTAGATTACAAACACACTAGACCCGCGCGTCACGGTGACAGAACTCCCGGGGAGCCCTGTCACGGACTTCAGACTGCTGCCCTGTTGACTGCTGTCTCACGGTTCGGTAAACGTTCCGCTCATTGGGGTCGGGCGAAACGGAACTGGCCTGCGGACTTCACAGGGCAAAATTCCCTTCACTAACTGCGAGTCAGTAGGTACAACTTGATGCGTTTTTGATCGTCGGAAGTTGTGGCATGGTGGCTGTCACCAAACATTAAATATTCCATGAAAATTTACCAGCATGAACATTTAATGCAGCCAAATGTTCTAAATTACAAATATCAATGATAAACCCCTTGAACAACACACAAAAAGATCTTAAGTGCCCAACCATCCACCTCGACCGCCTGTCCGTCCCGGCGGTGCCACGGAGTCGGGCTGGGCACCTGATCCGGCACGATCAGACCATTTTCACTGTATCACGGCGCGCTGCGCCGCCGGCGGCCGGCGCTCACAGACCTACCCCACTATCGGGAAAACCCGCGGACGGCGTCGGCCGCCCCCGTCCCGTCTCCGCTATGTTCGCCGAACGTGCCACTACTGCGGCCAGGTGCGGCGCCACCCCCCGCCCCCGCCCCGCCCCCGCCGACAGGTTCCGGGTCACGGGGATGTCCGGTTCGAGCGGGGGTGGGGGCGGGGTGTGGGGCCGCCCCCGACCGAGCGGCTAGTTCCCACCCACGACCGTAATCCGCGTGCGTGACACTGATCTTGACCTGGCTGGCAGTTGGAAGCTTTCACCGTTAGCTCAGCAGATCGATTGGCGTTTGAAGTGAACGGATCTAACCATGGCTAATGGACGACGTGCGGGGTCAGCAACATCTAGCCAGGCGTAATCTATCTTATTCAGTTATAACGTTCCTCGTCCCCTAGTCACTTCGCTTTGATCTACTGAGAAGCAGATCTCAACACAACAGGGTTCGGTATGGTCCATGCTGTATGGAATGATATAGTCGCTCTTGTCTAGACTGGCCCTGTTTATCGTCAAAATTCCGGCCATCCGTCCACCACTGCCGATCCCCGGTGCGCTTCAAAAACAGGTCTAGTTATGTGTTATATAGCAGGCCTTCGCTGACCGACAAAACACACCCAATCCCACCCAACTACCATACGCACAGAACACCGCCACCTTTCCAATACACGGTGACTCCAAAAAACGGGCCCCCAACTTTCGATAGCTCTGTCATTTTCTCAACTCTTGTCTAAATCTATTGAAACTTACATGGCAGTTACTTCGAAATGTTGGCAACATCATCAAAATTTGGGAACCCTGTCTAGGTCAGTTCCAGCTCTGGATTCTACAACAGTTCTTCGAGATGGCTGCATTTTGGAACCGTGCATTTCTTGAGGTGCAAAGCTGCTTTGGGGCCTTCCCCTGCTACATAGCTCGAAATTTGGTCCATCCGAGCCTTTATTCTGCTCCTAAAGGGGGTCCCGTGACGCCCAAATTGCGTCCCGAAGGTCACATTCGCGCTTCAATGCGGGTTAAGAGCAGAGCACTGGGTTGGATATGCCACTTCAAGAACAAAACGGGACGGTAGATAACATTACTGCAGCCCACTGCAACCTTCCAAACCATTCAGAACACCCCAGGAAGCGTGCAGCTGAGCTGTCTGCGTAAACAACTTCATGCTGTTGGTAAGGCAATGCACGAAAAAGCACGGCGGTAAATCTGCGGCACAACATTTAAAACAATGCAGTACAAAGAAGAAATACCCTGGAAGATTCTTTTTTTTTTGGTATGTTATTGCCAACATATCAGCGTACTCGCCACCGAAGTTTCATTCTATTCTTGCACAAAATACGGGTGTGAGGCTTATCAGAAGTTTGGGGTCCGCTTTTTTGGGGTCACCCTGTACTGCAATGGCACTGATCAGCTCTCGTGCTCGTGTTACTCACCCGCCGCACTTCGTCCGGGTACCACATCGGGTTGGAGTAGGGCACGTCATCCTCCTCCTCTGCCGGCGCCGGGGCGGCGGCACCTGCTCCGGCAGGTCCGCCGACAGCTCCAGCGGGCCCAGCAGGCCCGGCGACAGCTCCGACAGCTCCCGCAGGTCCGCCGACAGCTCCGACAGCCCCGGCAGGCCCGGCGGCGGTGGCGCCCTCTGCCTCTGGCGGCGGTGTCGGCGGCGCCGCTACCCCGGCTCCCTCGGCGGCGGCGGCCGCCCGGGCCCGGTCGCGCTGCCGCTGACGGACGCAGACGCGGCACTTCTGTCCGTACAGCTGGAAGAGCACGGTGCCGGCGCCTGGTCCCTTATGCAGGAAGTACTGGAATGTGACCTGGCCGTGCATGGACGTCCAGGCGTTCTGGCATGTGTCCTGTCGACAAGAAACGGTCACGATTAGGCACGGTGTAAAAACAACGGAATGCGAACAAGGGCATAGAGCTTATTAAAATAAAAGCACAACAGTTGCTCACAACACGTTTCATAAGTAGTCAGTAGTCACTGGTGCTGCCCACATCTTAAATCTGACAACCAAAGTAACATTATTCTAACTAGCTCACTTTCTCATACCACATACAAGTCAATAACGATGTCACAACTCCTGCTGCCTAATGGCCGCCTCCACCCCACCCCTCTTCCGCCTCCACCCCACCCCTCTCCTGCCTCTAACCCTCCCTCTCCCGCCTCCACCCCACCCCTCTCCCGCCTCCACACCACCCCTCTCTCGCCTCTAGCCCTCCCTCTCCCGCCTCTGACCCCTCAGGCCACTCACGCATCTGAACCGGATCTTGGCTGATGTGCTGAAGCACCGCCAGATGTGGCTGGGCTTGGGCGTGGACGGAGGCTGAGGCACCAGGGCCCAGTGCTGGCCGGTCCGGTTGAACAGCTCGGCGAAGGCGGTCACCCAGACTACGTACATGCCGCTGCGGGGGAACGAGGGCGCGGTTAGAACACGCAGAACAAGAACGTGCTGAAACGAGGGTGGTGGTGGTGGTGGTGTGGGGGGGGAGGACAAGCATGGGCGTTTAAAAAGTTTGAGATGTGACGGATGAGAGGTGGGCTGACCGGATGAGAGATGTTACACCACACGGCTTGAAAGTGATACGAATTCCCAGGAGCATGACGGTGACGGTGTAAAAGGGGTTCAGTGTAACAGCAAAGTTCAAGTACAGGCAGGCATACGATTGCAGTAATTGGAGGATGTTGGAGAAAATTTGAGTCTCCTCCTTTGTCTGGTAATATCAATTCAGGATATTTATCAATTAAATGGTACTTGGCGCACACAGGAAGTTCTAGCCACAGGCCATTGTTTCATCCAGTGACAACATGCCTGTCTGGGACGCCAGATCGCCGGCGAGTGCATGCAAGGACGCAGACCGCAGCCCTCCACGTCAAATACCATCCCGATTTCATGCCGATGAACCGTGAATAGTGAGCCGGCCGTGCCATTGTCCTCCGTTGCCAGGCGCCCGGCAGTCCATTCACAGGTCTGCAATCACCCAAAAACGGCCGGGCGTGTCGGTCCCAGACGGGCCGCGGCGGCCTCTGTGGCATGTCGCTGGCCGCTGCAGGGCCGTCACCGGCCGGCGGACCACCCGCACCCGCCGCCACCACCGGCGGAGGGGACACGGGGACGCCGCGCCGGCCCTGTCACCGCCGCGGCCACCCACCCTCCCAGTCTCCCAGGTGATTACCGGCGCAGATACACCACTGCACGCCACGCTGTCTAGTCGTTCCCAGCGTTGGGGATAGGTGTCGGCGCCGGCCGGTCTCGGTCACATTTCAATCCCGGTGCTCGTATCCATTCATGTATCGGTTTGGTTACGAAACCGGTGCCGTTTTCGGTCGCACCTGACCACACGGACGACGGACGGGTCGGTGGGTGGGCACTAGACGGCCAAAGTAGGCGGGTCCTAACACAGTACAGACAGCCGTGCGGCGTGACAAAGGCGAGTGACTGATCGTCCCTCCCGTCAGTTTTTACCGCCGCTGATCATAGACACCGCGACAACACAAACTCGCTGCAACAGCTTCCGCCCATTACCCTGACGACAGGTGCTCAAAGCACCCGCCGGAAACCTGCACGGCGCCTCTACCCTCCTCCCGTCCTCATCAGCGCTCTCCCCTCGCGCGGTAGCTAGTTAACCACTGCTCAAACTGTCAGACATCCCCTCTCCTAACCACTCCGCTCATCAATACTCGAATGGGCTGTGAACACACAAATAAACACCCCAACACAGACCTGCCGACATCAGTTCCCCGTCCATCTGCGCGACCTGAAGTGGCATCATTACATCGTATATCTGTGTCCGGCCGGAGCGCTGTGCTGTGACCATGCGGCATATCATTTCCCAGTCGCTCGAGCCACCGAAAGTAACTCGTCAGCCTCATCAGCGGATCGACTTCAAAGCGCGCCTGCTAACCGTGGTGCGCTCCATGACCGCAGCGGGCTATGGTGGCAATTATCACCCCGGCCACACCATCAATCTGCAGTGAGAAACAATCGGCGTCCGTGCATGCGGCGCCGCAGTCTCGGCCGCCACCGCTCGTAAAACATACGGGCTGTAACCAGACTGCAGCGGAGGGAGCCGTCACCGCGCCGTCATCGCCGCGAGACAACACCCGCCGTGACCTTATCGCTGAGACAGGGGACGGCGTCGGGGGGGGGGGGGGGGGTGGCGCTCGCCGAGACCCCGAGATTGAGACACGGGATGGGCTGTGGCGAAGAAACTACCCAGCGTGAAGCGTCAGAATCATACACTTTCCATTCCATAGCGCAAACTATTGCAGTGTCGATGTAACGATAATGACAAGCACTCAAGCCATAATTGTCAAACACGCACGGGAAGACGAAAACGTGGGGCCGAGACAAACACGCTTAAGGCATTGAGATGAAGAATAGAGGAAAATTGAATGCCTACAGCAGCGCCGTGGGCAGTGACGTACCCAGGGGGGGGGCCACGGGGGCCAAGGCCCCCCCCCCCCTGAGCGCCGAAGGCGCTCAGGGGGCCCCTCAGGCCCCAGGATATTTTTTTAAACACTGGATAAAACGTCTTTTACTCGGAAGAAAAATTGATGATAAAGTTTCATTTATGTGCCCTGGGTACCCGAGGGGCCCCTGCAGTCATCCAAGGGCCCCCAGTTTCCTGGGCCTCTGGTCGCCTAGGGGGCCTCTGGTAGCGGGGGCCTGGTCTAATGGGGGCCCCTGATAGCCTGTGGCCCCTAGTCGCCTAGGGGGCCCTGGTCGCATGGGGGTCTCTGGTCGCATGAGGCCCCTGATCGACTGGGGGCCCCTAGTTGCCTAGGGGGCCCTGATAGCCCGGGACCTGGTCGTATGGGCCCCTGATAGTCTGTGGCCCCTAGTCGCCTAGGGGGCCCTAGTCGCATGGGGGGCCTCTGGTTGCATGATATTGAGGCCCCTGATCGCCTGGGGGTACCTAGTCGCCCAGGGGGCCCCTGTTAGCCGGGGGGCCTGGTCGCATGGGGGCCCCTGGTTGCCTGGGGCCCCCGGTCGCCCCTAGTCGCCTCGGGGACCCTGGTCGCCTTGGGCCCCTGGTAGCCTGGGATCCCCTGGTCGCCTGGGGGCCCCTGGTAGCCGGGGGCCTGGTCGCATGGGGCCCCCTGGTCGCATGGGGGCCCCCTGGTCGCCTGGGGGCCCCTGATCGCTTTGGGGACCTGATCGCATTGGCCCTTGGTCGCCTGGAGGGCCCTGGTCGCCTGGGGCAGTGGGGCCAATAGTCATCTGGAGGACCTGGTCGCCTGGGAACCCCTGGTCGACTGGGGGCCCCTGGTCGTCTGAAAGTACGCTTATCACCTGATTGATCCCAAATCATCTGAGTGGCTACTGGCTACTGGATATAAGTAGTGACTGGAGTAGGCACTCATCTGAAGGAGCCGATATCTTTCACGGTGCCGGAGATATCACAGAAAAACAAAAAGGCTAAACTGAATACCCCCAACCTTGGCCCCAAAGGCGTCATTGGCTAACACAGGGATGTGGGTCGATTTGCAATCGCATTTCCTCCTAAGTCCTATTCCTCCAATTAATACAGAGTGTCCCAGAATTACCCAAACATTCATTTTCTGGCTAAAAGTACAATTGCGCTCGATTCCTAGTGGAACATATAATAGCCGCGTTTACATAGGGCTAGTTGCCAGATAGTGGAATTCCGATAACGAGACATTTATTCCCCACTATTATATTATATACCTACATATCCGGAATTGGAGGATGTTCAGTAATTGAGGCGCTCGCTCATAAAATGCCGTGCGTTTCATGCACACTCCTCAAGCAAAAATATTTTTACTTTCCAATTTTCCACATTTTCTCAAGGCTTAGACCGTTACAGAGACCGTTTTAATTGATTTTGATGAAGTTGAACGCGAGAAATCACAACCAAATGCTACATTAGGTTGTAAAGAACTGAATTGCGTTTTCCCACACACGTGGCGTTTTCTCACCTACGTCTGCAGGAGAGACCGGACCCACTATGCCCCCCCCCCCCCCACCATCGAAAGGTTCTTCATGACTCCCGGGGGCCCCCGGGGAACCTGGGGGGCCCCTTCGAAAGCAGGTGGCCCCCTCCTGGGCGAAATCCTGGGTACGTGCCTGGCCGTGGGAGTTTATAACACGCCACCTACCGCTGGTCCAGATTGCGGCGTGGCGAAGTCAATGTAGCATACGCCCGTATCACCAGCGATACAGGAAGCAGAGCATCACGAACGGGGCAGGTAGAGTGAGTGAGTGAGTGAGTGAGCAGGGCTGCGGAGTCGGAGTCGGAGTCGGAGTCGGTCGGAGTCGACAGTTGTGACCGGAGTCGGAGTCGGAGTCGGAGTCGATTTTAGAAACCCGAGCCGGAGTCGGAGTCGGAGTCACCGAAAATCTGTCAACTCCGCAGCCCTGCTAGGTCTGCGGAGTCGGAGTCGGGAGTTGGAGTCGGTCGGAGTCGACGATTCTGCCCGGAGTCGGAGTCGGAGCTGGTTTTTGAAAGCCGGAGTCGGAGTCGGAGTCGCCGAAAATCCATCGACTCCGCAGCCCTGTGAGTGAGTGAGTGAGTGAGAGCTTGTCCAACCAAAGAATGAACCACGGATACCTGTGTTAAAGTTTCAATGTAGAACGGTTGCTAAGGCGATGTTGCGGCCATCTTGTTGCTGGGCTCCAAGGCGGGCCAAAAAATAATAATCTAAGTAAATAATCTGATAGCAGGGCTCTAAATGGTGGACGGACGCTAGCAGGAGGTGCCAGGCCATTTATCGCCGATAATCACGACTATCATCCGCGGTTTAGAGCCTCATCCGTTGCAGAAGCGATCGCATATCGGCCATCGCCAATACATCACACTTATCAGCTGACTCCGGCCGGACCGGAAGTTCCAATCGGCCTAGTTATGGCGGCAAGTTCATTGGACGTCTTATTCAGCAGCCAGGGTGTAGGCTAATCGTTCAGCTGGCCGTGGCAGGGGAACGGGGGCGTAGCCTTTGTCATGCCCCCACCCCGGGGACGGCCCGATGAGCCACTGAGTCAATGTATCTCCCGACTTTGAGTCGCGCGAGTCATGAATGAGTCATGAGTTATACACGACCGGACGGTCAACAGCAGATTGGCATGGACGCTTGACATTGGAACTACTCCAAGTCGGAGGCGCAGACGCGTTTTTCCCGAACCCCACTCATTAATGCAACATCCAGCGGCCTGGATCAGCAGCGCCTGTGTCTCCAAACCTTCATTCTTATAAATAAACTGCGCTAAAAAGATTCAAAGGCGACTTCAATGGCGACTCCGATACAGTCTACGACTCAACTGGGTACACAACTACCCATGACACGACACGGCCGTTCATCGCACCGTGCAACGGTCCGTAGCACGCGCCGCTTCTCCCCTCAGAAGAAACAAGCGACTAGTGGCACGCACTTCAAATGGCTG